CTCCACGCTAATGAGTCTTCCCGATAGCTCCCCTAGTCGCTCCTCCAAACTACAAACTCTGCATACCTGCCATACCTCTCGTTCACTAGTCCCACCTACCCAATCCCCGCAACGAACACATCTATGCGTCCTAGGCATCTGACTTAATGTTCTTGATCCCTATTGACCCTCCTTCTGCTTTAGATGTATACTTTGCAGTACTTCACACTAGTTGTAACCCGGTAAGACTGTCCTGTCCTAGTCCTTGTAGTAAAAGGAATACTGTGAGTTATGCGCTAATGAGTAAAGTAATTAGGCTGATTGATACTGATCTAATGTGAAGTTGGAGGTAGTCTTTGCAGTACTTCACACTAGTTGTAACCCGGTAAGACTGTCCTGTCCTAGTCCTTGTAGTAAAAGGAATACTGTGAATTATGCGCTAATGAGTAAAGTAATTAGGCTGATTTATACTGATCTAATGTGAAATTGAATTTAATTATCAGGAAACTTATGAATACTGCTAGAAAGTAGCCTGGTAACAACTAACTCACGACTTAGCTGACAGAACCTCGAGAGTATATTCCAAGACGTTCTCACGCTACGAACGCTCGATAAAGACTGATTATTGAGTCGACAAGGTTATTAGGCCTCGGAAGCAGTGCCAGAGAGATCATAATCGTCCCTTGATGTTTTCCAGGATTTTCGTAAATCAATGGTCACCTTTGACCATTCCCGAAGAATGATCAAAGAATGGAGCGATCCGCGAATCCTACAATATCTGCATTATGGGCGCGGGACCCTCCATCCCTTCCTCCGCCTCTCCGCCCGCCATCCCTTCCCATGCCATTCGCTGCGGGGAATCCGATTCCGCGATCGTACGTTCTCGTGGAATCGACGATTCTCAGGGGGAGAGTGGAGGGAGAGTGGAGGGCACGCACGGCTCCGTGCAGGAGGCATTCGCCATGATTTATTTTCGCCGTCGACCCCCATTTGCTTTTACTGCCTAGGCCAAATCTCGTTCCACGGACATGTGCCATGAAATGGCGCATGCGAGTGTTCTGAAGGCGAGCATGCTGCAGGGTTGGAATTGCAACATTATTTTTATTTACCCGAAATTAATTTAAATAGTGTCTGTTAAATGAAAACTTAATAGATATGTGAAATTTCTCTCAAGACTTCGAGAAACTTCCCTAATTAAAACAAAAAAGACTTTTGGAGGGACAATCCGAAACAAAGTCGAACAAATGTAAAGCACATCATGCGAACATATATTTTCACTGCCTCGACGTGAATCCGAAGGTTTCATTTCTGCTCTCAATGACAATTTCATCACCAAACTTTGCTAACTTTACTGCAAGCATAATTACTTTCACGGCACGCCAAGAGAACATTTTGAACGGATTTTCACATCCAGTTGTTTCAGATCGTGATTGGCATCCTCGTATGAAGACAAACGAGTTTGGTACAACATTTGCGTCTGTCGGCCACATTAAGAGTTCATTTTAATTGACAAAATTAAACAACATTTGATCGAAATTGATCACATTTGAGAAATTGACAAAATTAGACAGAATAGAACAAAATTATACAAAATCCCCACGATGTTTCCACTTCCTTGAAATCATATGCATTTTTGGAAAACTTCCTGATGCCATGAAACACATTTGTTTCCCCCTCCCTTCATTTCCTTAAATAAAAAAAAGACGTCGAATAGGGCCCCAAGTCCACTCAATCCATCAGGTGGCTCTGCCAATATTTCCAGTAGGGGGAGAAGTCCCCCTCCTCGTAGCCCTCGTAGTCGTCCGGGTCCAGGTAGTCCCAGCTGATCTCTTGCCACTGCAGCCTCCCGTCGGAGGCCGGGGCGAAGAGGCCTGTCGGGCGAAACGGCGGAAACTCTGAATTCGACGGAGTTGGCAGGTGATGCTTTCAAGGACGATATTAGAGCAATAATGCTTCGTATTTGTTTTCAAATAAGTATTTTAAAATATATGTTTTTTCATGCTGGAATAAACAATCGCGAATAGAAAGCACTGAACAACATTCTGCAAACACGACGAAGTAGACTTCCAAGGCTGAAATCACTCTCATAAAATCCTTGCAATATTCATGGTAAGAATGAGGATCATGACTCTCACAAAATGACTGAATGAAAAGTGCCTGAACAGACATATAGACGCCACAAGCCAGCGAAAAGCGTTCACAAGTAATCTCTATGTCTTCGTAGAGTAATTGAGCCAAAGTGTACAGTTAACCTAACTAGATCTAAAAGTTATCCTTGATTACAAACATGCGAATTAAATTAGATTTCAATTCATGAAGAGTGCGAATTTCAAACCCATCGACATATCTGAGGGCATGCCGTATTTGTTTCCACTGATCTTTTCTTATGTTTTGTAGCACTAGGGACATTTGCATAACGCATTGGGGAATCGTTCATAGCGGCAATTTCGCCCTGAGTGATCGCCTGATAAATTATCTGGTGCGGTTTCAATTTCCTTATCAAACAAAGAGAGAAATGGAAGAAAATGAGGAAAGTTAAGAGGTTTTTTTTTGCGAATTCGAAAATCGAACAACACCTGTCCGCTGTTTCTTCGCTTGAATTTTGTGCACACCCTCATCTCCTTTGGCAAACGAAGCCGATGGATTCGCAAAGAGGAAAAAATGCAGGGTTGCGCACGAAAATTTCGCCCTTTCTCGTTTCATCGCCAATCCCCGCCCTTTTGGCATGCGATCATGCCATTTCTCGATTGATTCGACACAGAGATCAATAATCAATAATCAAGGACGTAATTAACGTAAAATAATTTCTTTACCGTTACAAAATGCAGCTGCACATCGCGATTACAGGCTGGATCAAGCACTTGGCTGAAAATCCCTAAATTCGGTGGCCCATCAGCTGATATGGGCCGATTCGATATAAATCCCATTTTTAACTGCTGTTACCTATGCTTTCAAATTATTTCAGAAATGTATTTTTCTTTACAGAATAGTTTTCAGAACGGGAAGACCGCTAACGTGGCAATGCTTTGATTTATTGACATGAATCATGAAAAAAGGTGTTATCTCATAAATGAAACGAAAAAGGGATTTTTTGGTGCATCCAGTGGAAGGGAATGATTTACATACCCGTAGTATTACATACTTCACATAAACTAGTAAATTACGGGACGATCGTGGCTCACCTTCGGGGTAGGATCCTTGCGTCCAGACCCAGCGGTCGTTCGAGAAGCTGTACAACGGCACGGCCTGCAAAAGCAGAGGAGAAAATGTCTGGAACTTGTCAAATTCGTTCATTCGGCTCCTCGGAGGGATTCTGGACTCGATGGCGTGAGAATCACTCGTCGAAAGGCGAAACAATGCAAAAATTCAAAAATGCATCCTCATATGAAATTACGATTTCTACTCGACAATGTCGAATTATCAATAAAATTCTTAGTCTTTCGACGCGTCAGTCGAATAGATCGGTTCAGAATGGGAAATTCGCTCGCTGAATAACCACTCACATGAGCAAGCCCGAGAAGCAGAAGGAGCGAGGCAGGAGATAGGTGCATGATGCAGCCGATGCAACCGATGCAGTCGATGCAGCCGAGGTTCAGAGTGCCGGGGCGATCCTAGGCCCAGTCCCGACGGAGCCCCATATGCGAGGAGCGCGAAGGACGGAGCCTTCGCGGAAGGACGACAGGCGTCCTTCGATTTTGCAGTCCGCGGCCTCCATACCTGCGCCCCAACTGCAGCCCCACCTGTGCCCCACTGCGTCGAAAATGATTAAATCACTCTACAGCAGTGACAGCTCGCCTTGCATAGGGAGTGAGTCCCGAGTGTGAATCTGTTTACTCACCTTGATTCCGTGCGTTCCCAAGCGCTCCATTCGGTTTTAATTTTAAATTAAAACATGAAGAACCAAATCGAGCGACAGGGCTTTCCAATAGGGAGAGGTCTTCATGAATAAAATTTCGCAAGCAAATGCCTGCGAGACCCCTGAAGCCCAAAAATTCTCCCACGAGAAGCATGTCGCCCATCAAATCGACGGAAAAAAATCATCCTGATGATTGAAATTTCCTATGCGAGTAGCTTCCACACATCCATTGTGCCTCCTTCGGCATCAATTTGCCAACTGATTTTGCAAGTTGCTTCGGATTTGCATTTTAATCGTTTCTGCACAAAAATTCCATATTATGCTATAGGACGTTGCATTTGGGAAAGAGCTAATTGACCTGATGGGTGACGCCCCACAATCCCAGAAAAAAAATTGAAAACAATTGAAAAGTTACAGAGCTCGGATGAAACTCCAGAATCCGACATTTTTATATTTCTTCCCATTATTACATGATATAGTGTATATCAAAAGTTTCGAATTTTAGGCAAATGTGACTCATCAGAGAAGTGTTATGCCTCTTTAACTAGGCCAGGTAGAATTGCGCGAAATGACTCCGAAGGAAGGTCTCAAATAATAAAAGTCAATTATTACCACGAAAATTACGGTCTATGAAACCTGAATGTCTCTTTCGAAATCTACTAATTATAGAGAATTTCATGACCCCATTATCTTTAATAGGAAACAACATAATACCAACTTTTATTTAGAGTCCATCTGTGCCTAAGTTTTTATATTATATATATTACATATAGTGTATTGATTTCGCCCTTGGAGAGGAAAGGCCTTCCCAAGGATTCCTTCTCCACATCTCCAACAGTACCATAGGATTTCAGTAGTTGCTCAGACAGGTGGATGGAGGTTGACGTCCTGTAGGTGTAGGTTCCTTTTCTAGCAGTAAATGAATTTCGGCGGGGGGGGTGCGAACGAACGGTAAATTGACTGGCACAATGAATATGATCATATGACATGCTAATGGATATGATAATATGATATGAATATATCAATAATTGTATTACTTGCCCTGTGCATTTCTACACGGCAAGTGCTTCCTCTTCCGTTTCGAAAGCGGCCAGAGTACCGGCGACAAACCGCCTTTTCCCAGTTTTTACCACCTTCGATAACCTCCTTTGCAAGTTGAAACAATCATGACGCCATCGGTTCCTTTGGTTGGAGATTTTTATTTTTCATTATTATATTTTAATCTAATAAGTCAATGAGACTTGACTATTATTATCTAATAAAACTATTTAATGCAATTAGTGGAACTCGTATAGTTTGACACCATCTTAGCGAATGTTACCAACTTGTTTGGAGAGCATTCTCTCGAAAACAGAACGGTCAAATAACAAGGAGAATTTCCAACGATGTTCACACGAATCAATCGTCCAACAAATGCAATTTCCAAGAAGCATGCACTAATTTTTTTTTTTTCCAAATTGCAGATTTCCAGATAATGTCGCTTAATCGACACTTTCCATAATTGGCATTGGCCAGTTGCACCCACACGCTGCAGATCGTGGATCGAGTGATCCCAGCCCGTCCGGCTCCATGCATTCTGCCGAAGCGGGACGTGAAGAAGCGAGTTGTCGTGCCCTTCCCCCTCCTCTCTACGTTGGGAAACGCAGGAACATCCGCTGAGAATGCGCCAAGATTGAACGATGTTACTGCTTTCTGCATGGGGAAAGGTCGATGAATTCAAACTGATATTCTCCAGCCGTCTTGCCTTCAAGAGGATTCACGCTTCAATCGATTTTCAGCTGGTTTAAAATCTCGCTGGACGATTTGCAATAGGTAGTGGTGCATCCATCGTTAAACTGCTACCTATGATCTTCATTCGACCCGGAATAAGCGGTCGTTTTTGGAACGAGGGACTTTTTCCAAAGTTACTTGTTAAATTACAGGCAGAAATATAAGTTTTTCCCTGAATGACTGAAGAAAAAGCTAACCTCTGCGTTCATGCTCCGTCTTTCGAGGAATCTTCATTGCGTTGGCTCCGGGTGTCGACCACATCGCGATTCCCTTCACGCACTTCAGTTTCCACTGGTTGTACCAGAAGAACTCTTGAAATTGAAACCGAACTGTGCGCATGAAATCAGAAGTGACGAATAGACGATGATGTTGCCCGGATCGACCGAAGTAGAGAGTCTATTGCAAGACAAAGGGAAACATTGAGCTGCTCAAGGTTTTCGCATTCTTAGACAGTGGACTGAACGCGCATGGTGATGATGATTAAACTAATCACGCGATTTTCTGCACGGATTTCAATCATTGTTGATGAATATCCAATCGTCCAAACCGATGTCGGACACCTGGCGGTCCACGATGAAGGGCTTGCCCGAGATGACCTTGGGGGCGAGGACGATGCCGCCCGAGAAATAAGCCGAGAAGAAGCCGAATTCCCCGACGGAGACGATCGTATGATTGCAATGAGCGAGAATTGCAAAGTCCAAGTCTCGATCGTTCTCTTCCAAAATAACGATGTTTTCATCGGCACCTTTGATGTTTTCATCGGCATCTTTGATGTTTTCATCGGCACCTTTGATGTTTTCCCTGCACCATTTCGCGTCGTCGCTGGCCGCTATGAACACGATGCCGGAGAAGAGCAGGCCGAAGTGCGTCATCGCTCTCCGGAAGTATTTCGCTGTCGCTGGTTTGGCGCCGAATCGCTCGAGTTCGGTGCGATCCGCGCGGCGAACGTGGATCCCGACGAATGTCGAGTTTCGCCCGTATTTGGCACTCAGATATGAAAAGAACGAATCCACCTTCTCTTGCACGTTTGAGTTGAACCGGAAATCCGGCATCCAATCCTTCCTGAATTCGTGGAACAGCCTCCCATCGAAGCGGTAACCGGCGAGGAAGACATCCTTCTCTCGAATGAATTCCGCCTCGTCCCAAGGCGGAAGGACCTTCCCGTACGGACTTATGGTGGCCGCTTCCGTCCAAAATCTCGGGGGACATCCGGTCTCGTTTTCCCTCCGCAGACTGAGACGGGGGAAAAGGGGCTGGAGCTCCTCGTAGAGATTGCCTCTGAGCACCGGGATCTTCCCGTACTTTCTCCCGTACGAAAATGCGGTGACATACTCGGCGATCATGTCGCCGAATCCTCCTGCGCTTCCAACGGCGACGAACGTGGAACTTCGACATTGCTCGGGCGTTAGCGGGAATTTTGGCCAGGTCCACGGCTTAGCATGGACTGCATCGAAGTAACTCGGAATCGAGGCGATCCCCGTCTGCTTCAAGTTCGTATTTTCCTTCCCGCTTCGGGAATGCGGGTACTTCCCCAGTCGCCCTGACCATCTATACCCCGATAGAAGGTTCATCAGGAATGCAACAGTTCCAACTACGATGAAGAGGAAAGCGCAATGGATGGTCCTGGAACTCGGCGTCCTCCTGATGAAAGAGAAACCAAAATTATCGGATTACAATTGGTCGCAAATTACACGGTGGAAAGAAAGCTCACCTTAAAAAAAAAAACGTTCTGAGAGAAATCGCTTAATGGAAAGAAGAGCATTGCAATGTAAGCCATAAAGGAATGGTCTCCGAGGACTCCGATTTATTTACATGGACGCATCATGAGTGACATCTGAGAATAGAATAACGGATAATCCTCTTGAAGGAATAATATTTCTAGAGGGTAGTAAATAACATTTTATGCAGTTTTTCCGACAATATCCTTTAGAAGCGAGTTTCTTGCACTTTCATTGGGTTTCTTTTTTCGAACACCACTGTAGAAGAACATTAAACAACTTGATAGCTTTTATTCGGAGGGAGCCAAGAGCGGAAAATCATATGAAAATTCCCTGTGGTCCTTAAATAAAAAAATGTATGGTACTGTGTAAATACTCAATCGCCCTTTTTTATTGTCCTAAAATGAATGGATTACATTTTACCCGAAAATGGACATTGATGTTTTCGGAAAGTGCATTGAAATTGTGAACGTTAAACGATTTCGACCCGATATCGAATTCACTCCGAATGAAGAACCGCAGATTGTTAATTGGTGGTAATGGCATTGGTAATATGGTAATTGGTGGTAATGGCATTGGTAATATGGTAATTGGTGGTAATGGTCTTTTTGTTTAGCGATTCTTGCGGTTTTCCGACTTGGAAATAACTCTGATGCCATCCTAAATGCATGATTTACTGGCACTCTCGACATTTTAAAATGTGTCAAATACTAATAAATAATTCTGCAGGTCTGTGAACGGCTGGCAGCTTCACAACGTCATTGTTACTTCAATCAAAAATTGACTTACATGTCCCACTTCACCAGTTCAGATCCGCAGGTTCAAAACGGGAACACGTGCAGGAGGATCTCCACAGGGAGGCTCGGTCTTCACTGCTCCGTTGCATTTTGTGTGGAGAGAGAGATAACGGCTTCGCCAGGGGAAATAAGAGCGCGCAAGTCAAGTGATAGCGAATACGGATAAAAAAATATAGATAAGGCTTACAGATAAGGTCTATGGCCATTTTTAAAATGTACATTAATTTTAAACTAAAAAAAAACAACCAGACAAATTTTGCAGCGAAAGAGAATCTTGTATATCTAGTTAGTGGTTCTTGCTTAGCTTCTCAGGCCATCTGAGTGAAGGGGTGTCATTACCTAATGCGAATAAGTTTTTTTGTGAAGTGTTTGTTCTGTTCTCACTTTCCAAGTAATTGTTTGGCAATATCCTCCAACAATAATAGGAACGCTGAGCGCTCATCTTTGAACATGACAGTTGACCTCGTGAGCGTCTTCGTACCCAGGCATCTAGTGGGGCAGAGTTGCAATGGAAACTCTCAGGAAATCGGGAAAGATAAGTCTGATTGATGCCATTTGAGATAGGATTGTAATGTGGTAAGATGCCGAGGGCCTCCTGAATTGATTTTGTAGCCACTTAATGCTAAATATACCAAGATGTTAAAGTTATTGGGACTTTTTGTGCCCGGCAGGTCATGTGTAATATCCTGTGTATGAGGAGCAGACGACAAGAGCAGCAAGCAGGGTT